GGGGGGGGGGGGGGGCAGAGGATGGACATCTCGGCCCCAGACCAGGGCTGATGGGGCAAAGAGCCCATGTCTGTTGGGAAAATGCCAGCCTGAAAGAGGGATAGCAGTGGGATGGGCTGATTGGGAAATGCCATTTAACTCTCTATGACCCCTGGTAGGGAGCAACTTGTCACCAGGTCCTGAGCTTTGAGGGGACTCCAGAGCTGGGTCACCCCATGGGCACTCAGCTGAGCAGCTCATCATCAGGGTGAGCATCAGGGGGAAGAGCCCAAAATGACTGGGAAGCTCTCAATTCCCTGTGATGAGAGGAGTTTCTGTAGGAACTGGGCAGAGGGGCAGGTAAGCCTCCCCTGGGGATGGTTTCTCGCAGGGATGCAAACACAGCCCTGCAGTGTGGCTGGGAGGGATGTCAGGGTGGTAACCCCCATGTGAGTGTGCCATCTCCACTGGTTGGTTCCCCATGCTCTCTCCACTTCCATCTCCATGTCCAGGTTTTCCTGCCACAGTAGTTTTCCAGCAGTTGTGAGTTTCAGATCTCAGAGTGACCTGGCTGAAAGGATTTTGCTCATTCGTTTAAAGAACAGAAACAATCCCATAAATACCCACAGGACCAACTGCAAGGCACAGTGGGGCTTGCTGCAGGCACAAAACCTGCCAAATTGGGGTGCCTACCTGGCTGTTGCTGCTGTGCTGATTTTCCATGGCCATTCCTTTTCATCCTCTCTCTGAACTAAACAGTCCTAATCTTTTCAATTCCACCTCCCACTGAAATCTTCCCAGGCCTCTAATAATTTTCATTGATCTGTTGCTTGAGACTTTCAGTCCCTGCACTGCTTGAGCAGGAGTGATCAGACCAGTGAATTCATAATAATAACAATGATCAGATTTCTATCAGGGCTTTATCGTGTATGTAAATATATTAAATCGTTAACTCAGCTCTAATTTTAGCAGTTTAGCTCTTGCAGTGAGGAGTAGCCTGGGAATGGAAGAGATTGAGAGGTACAAGGTCAGAGGGGACCACGGAACTAATGTGATGTGATCTCCTGCATAAATACAGGCCTTCAGAGCTGTCACTTCATTCTCTCTCAGAGCAGCTCAGCTTTGAGGGGAAAACATCCTTGGCTGCAAAATTGCCAGTGGAGATAAAACCTCCAGGTCCTGTGGTGATGCTGTTAACTGCCCCTGTTAAAAACCCATTGCTCTGAGGGTTTGTCTGGCTTCAGTCTCCTACCACTGGAGCTTCTTCAGCCACTGCCTGGAGGAGGGAGATATTGTCCTCTTCATGGTCATGCTCTGGGTTGGGTGGATCCCTGTCCTGTCACCCTGCTGCTCCTGACATCTCATCCCAGCCCTGTTGTCAAATCCTGCCATCCTGGAGGAGCCTGAGGCACATCAGGGGATCAGGGACCAGAGGAATCTCTGGGAGGGAGGATATTTCTGGGAGCAAGGGGTGTTTTACTTTGTCCACTTCCACTGCTCTGCCCTTCATTGCATCCAGGCAATTCCTCCCCATAGTCAGACCCTCCACCACACTCAGACTCCTCTGGTCTGGGACATCCCAGAGCTGCCTGCACAGCCAGGGCAACAGTCCAAAGCATCAGCACTGCAAAACTGGAAGGGCATCACTCACAGAGTCCTGGTGTCCAGAGCAAATTCTGAGGAGGCCACGAAGTTGACAAGAGGATTGGAGCATCTCCCCTACGAGGACAGACTGAGAGTGGGGGCTGTTCAGGCTGGAGAAGAGAAGGTTGTGTGGAGACCTCAGAGCAACCTGCCAGGAGCTGAAGGGGCTCCAGGGAAGCTGCAGAGGGATCTGTGTTAGGAGCTGCAGGGACAGGACAAGGAGGAATGAGGAGAAAGTGAAAAGAGGGGAATTAGATTAGATATTAGGCAGAGGTTTTCCCTGTGAGAGTGGTGAGACACTGTCCCAGGTTGCCCAGGGAGGCTGTGGCTGCCCCAACCCTGGCAGTGTTCACAGCCAGGTTGGCTAAAGCCTTGAGCAACCTGCTCTGGTGGGAGGTGTCCCTGCCCAGGGCAGTTGGGGTAGGCACTGGATGCTCTTAGAGTTCTCCAACCTTGATGACTCTATAATTCTCTGACACCTTGGCCATTGAGCTCCATCTCTGCCAGACTTGGGAGTGAAGTATGTAGCTGCCCCAACCCTGGCAGTGTTCACAGCCAGGTTGGCTAAAGCCTTGAGCAACCTGCTCTGGTGGGAGGTGTCCCTGCCCAGGGCAGTTGGGGTAGGCACTGGATGCTCTTAGAGTTCTCCAACCTTGATGACTCTATAATTCTCTGACACCTTGGCCATTGAGCTCCATCTCTGCCAGACTTGGGAGTGAAGTATGTAGAGGGAAACCCAAAGCAACCACACAAAATGGACGCAAAGCATTTAGGTGCCTCCAATAAGCTCATCATTCCCTTGCCAGACCCTCCTGGAGAGCCCTGGCTGAGTATCATGGGGGCAGCTTCACTAACCCCCCAGCTCTGCCCTCATCCTGAGCGTCTCTAAGCTCCATTCCAACCCCTAAAATTCTATGATTCTCTGTTGATTCTGTGTTTGCATCACTTGCCTCACTGGAAGGTGCTTTCCCCTCTGAGCTTGCTGTGACCAGAGAGGCATCAGGGAGTGATGGGCACAGGGAGCTCTGGGGAGTGTCAGCCCATCAGGGAGCTCTGCCTGGCCTGTTTTGACATTTTCTCTTGCCAGACAATTAACTGAGGGGTAATTGGCTGTAATTGCCGCTCAGGGGTTTAATCGCATCCCCCCCTCAGCTCCAGCCCGGAGCCACGTGCAGGAAGAGGAAGGGTCACTGGGAGCATCCCTGTCCCGCAGGCTGCGGCTCCTCTCAATTAGAGCTTCAAAGGGCTCCCAGGAGCCTTGCAGCTCGCTCCTTTCCCAGCACAATCCCCTTTGCAGGGAAAATTAAACTCTTAGCAGCGCCGTCAAAGAGGCTGTCCCTGCCCCTCCTCTGCCTCCCAGTTCTCCCAGCAAAACGCCCCAGTGCCCTTCTCTCCCCTCTCCTTGCTCAGCACATGACCCCCCCTGGATCAGAGGGAGCCTGATCAGCCCCTTTGCAAATTGCTTTTCTACTGACTAATTAAAACGCTGATGAGATAAGTCAACATATTATTAATAATTATTGTATCGTCTACTTTGATTTACAAAGTCAAACAGGAAAGGATTTTGTTCCCACGCAGGGTATCTAAGGAGCCTGAATGATGCCTCATAGAAGCTAATTGGAACAGGAGCACCTTGAGTGCTGGGGAAAGGCCTCCCATGCTGCCCACAACCTCCATCTGCTCCTCCCCAGCAGCTCTGTGGCCCCACAGCATCCCCCTCACTGCATGGGGTGGGGGCAGCACAGGGAGCTGGTGGGATCTGCCACCCAGGAACTGCACCAGCACCTCCCACAAAACCATGGCATGTCCTGAGCTGGGAGGGACCCACAAGGATTACAGAATCATAGAACCATCAGGGTTGGAGGAGACCTCTATGAGCATCAAGTCCAACCATTAACCTGTCACTGCTGGAAGCCCTAAACCAGATCCTCCAGCACCACATCCAGACACCTCTTAAACACCTCCAGGGATGGTGACTCCACCACCTCCCTGGGCAATTCCCTATTCCAGTGCCTGAACACATGAACAGGGAAAACATTTCC